CTGCCGAGCAGGGAGCCTGATGCGGGACTCGATCCTGGGACTCCAGGATCATGACCTGAGCCGAAGGCAGTCGCTTAACCAACTGAGCCACCCAGGCGCCCTATTATAAAAACTTTCTAATAAGCTGTTTGTGACTATCAGTCAGCTACAAATAGAATAAAATTCAAAAAATAGATTAATGGTTCTAGATTCCAAATAAATCTATATCTTAAAGGTATACCACCAGTCAGAAGGGTTTCCAAGTGTATTTGAAATTAAATCTCAAAGGCCATTATGAAAGATATCACATACATGCAAACTAAGGTAGTATTAATTTCAAACTCTCATTTTTTTATTCTTGGCAGATTAAAAAAAAAATTCAGATCTAGAGCCACGGCAGCCTTTCAAAACACAAATGCAACCACTTCAGAGTAGTATAATCCAAACAATTTTAGCAATATACAGTAAGAATTCCTTTTCATGTTTTCAATGTTTATACCTAAAAGTTCACCACTCTAAACAACTAAACTATGCATAAACTTCCTTTTTTGATGAGAAACATTTATATTTAAGGACTCCAATGAATTATCTTTCCTGGATAACCAAATACAAATAAACCATATATGAAATTTCAAATTAGGTAAATGCTAAAAACAAATTGTAATACAGAAGAAGAAAAAGATTTGAATATTTCAAGCCTTCACTGTTGTTAAACAGTGAGAAAGGACCAAGTATGAGTCCACTCATATGAGAAATGCTGAATGTCTGTAGGTCAACAGCAGTTTCCAAAAGTCTCTACACAAAACACTATGGATATAATAATTATTGCATGAGCAAACTCTGTGTCTTTGGTTTGGCAGCCCATGATAAATCAGGAAGAAGTTAAATACTGAAGGTTTTTCTGGGGGGGGGTGGTTGATAAACTAGAAAGAGGCTCTATTTTTAGATTATACATAGAGTTAATCTGAATTATGCCAGTGACTACACTAATCACTAAAACTGCTGTTTTGTAATTATAATCCTCAGTGATTACAATAATTCAAGAGGATAAAGCAGTTCCTTCAAAATTTCAAGGAGAAAAGAGAGATTACTTTTATGCAACATCCCTAATCTTGGTTTCCTTTTTCCCTACAAAGCAGTTATTGAATCAAAAGTCCTGCTCCAACAAGATTACTTATTTTTTTTAAGTAGGCTCCACACCCAATGTGGGGCTCGAACTCACAACCCCAAGATCAAGAGTCACATGCTCCAGGGCGCCTGGGTGGCTCAGTCGTTAAGCGTCTGCCTTGGGCTCAGGTCATGATCCCAGGGTCCTCAGATCGAGGCCAGCTTCTCCCTCCCCCAATCCCCCTGCCTGTGTTCTCTCACTGTCTCTATCTCTGTCAAATAAATAAATAAAATCTTAAAAAAAAAAATCACATGCTCTACCAACTGAGCCAGCCAGGTACCCCAAGATTACTTATTTATATTTACAAATATAGGGATGCCTGGGTGGCTCAGTTGGTTAAGCGTCCGACTCTTGGTCTCAGCTCAGGTCTTGATCTGAGGATTGTGAGTCCAAGCCCCAAGTTGGGCTCCACGCTGGGCATGGAGTGTGTGTGGGTATGTGTATATATATACATATATATATATACATATACATGTATGTTCAACTAAAGGAGTAAGTATGTTCATTAGAATAAAATTAGTACTTTTCTCCTTATTAGTTTTATTTCTCATCAAACTGAAGCCCAGAGTTTACAAATAATGTTAATTTTCTCTCCTATAATGTTAAAGAGATATGGTTCTTTTAATCCACTGGTAAAATTAATAACCTTTGAAAGAGTTTCAATTAGACACCTGCATAAGAAAAAGGATTTCTTTTTTTTTTTAAAGATTTTATTTATTTATTCATGAGAGACAGAGGGAGAGAGAGGGGGAGAGAGAGAGAGAGAAGTAGAGGGAGAAGCAGGCTCCCAAGGAGCAAGGAGCCCGATGCGGGACTCGATCCCAGGACCCCGGGATCATGACCTGAGCCGAAGGCAGACGCTTAACCATCTGAGCCACCCAGGCGCCCAAGAAAAAGGATTTCTAGTTAACTGTTCGAAACACATAAAAATGGATACACAGAAGTATTATAATATCAAAGTTATAAAAGACATAGTAATGACTCTTAAAAAAAAAAAGACATTCTAAATTTTCATCAATCCCAATTATATTTTCAGTGCTCCCCGAATGACTACTCAGGTTACAGAACCAGGAGATCACAAGAATATGTCTGCAATCCAAAAACACTGATGATTCACACTAAGCCCAATTTCTACCAAAAAAAAACCCCTGAATGTGTATATATTAGTCCTTGCCCTTTCTGATCTGTAATCTTTTTATTAATAAATAAGGAGAAATAAATCCCAAATGCAAGAGGGTTAAAAATGTCTAAAAATGGTCCCTAGAGAGTTTGAATTTTGAATTCTTTATAGGAAAATGTAACTTTGTCCTCTTCCAAAAGTTATCACTATCCTGTGGAAAAATGTTTTATTTAATTCAATAATGTTATGAGATGATATGGGAAGAATGATTCTAAATAAAAAGGACCAGAGAAAGCTTTTTGGAAGGAAGGATATCTGTACTGCACCTTGAAGGATGGGTAGACCTTATTAGGCAACTGAAGGAAAGGCATTCCAGTCACAGGGAAATGGCTCACGCAAAAGCAAGGAGGTAAGAATGCACAGAATGTATGCCCAGGACAAGCACACTGAGTTGGGAGTAGGAAAAGTCTAAGAAGGTACTAAAGTGTTAGGGACTGTGAATATGTATGTGGCCTTGTATTAAACCTTGCAATTTTTTTCAACAAAGGAATAGCAAAGTCGGATCTGTGTTAAATAAACTGGCAGCAACACTGGGTAAAGGAGGGAGACAGAAGGAAGATACTTCAAAAACTCCAGAAGCAACTACTGAATAGGAAGTTTTCTCTTGTCATCTCAAAACACCAAGCAAATTTTTTGCACATAATTGATGCCCAACAAACTTTTTTTAATTTCTTGCCTGGGAAGAAGATAAGAACTATGAAGCAGCAAAGAATCCTATACTAGTGAGAAAACTGGGCTTTAATACATATATGCTCCACAGTAGAGTATACTCATGTAAATAACTCAGGAAAGTTTTACTTAATTTTTTAGTGTTTTTATAATGATGATTACAGGATATTGAATATGTTATATGATTTATAAGGTACTAAAAGACAGCAGTCCTAAAAGGAGGACTGAAATATTTCTGCATAGTTCCCAATAAAACACAACACCTACAGGCATCTTAAAAGTGGATTATGTCCCTACAAACCGAATTCAGCGACCTGGAGGAGAATTAAACACTTGCAGAGAAGCAACAGAGCATGTGCTCTGAGATCAGGTCACAGTTTGACTTATTAGTTATATGATCTTGAGCTAGTTAAACTCTCAGAGTTGGTTTGGGCATAATGACACTTATCCAACATGTGTTGTGATGATTAGAGATCCATTTTATAAAGTATCTAACCCAGTGCCTGGCTCTGGTACTTAACAAAAGTACTCAATAAAGTATAGTAGTAATAATGATAGTGGCTGTTATTACTTTTTTGAATGTCTATTAGATTTAGAATAGTCTAAATCTACATCAGTTTTTTAATTTTCAAATTCCAGAGAACTAATTAAAAATTTTACCGTTTAGGTAAATCTTAAGTACAAGGCCATTGAAAAAATTACTATAGACTATCTTCGTTGTAATTAGCCTAGTACCAAGTCTGAGATTTGTATTAAAATATAACATTTGTAACCCTGCATGTCTGATTTAGTAACATGAGAAAATACAACTAAAGGGCTGATCTAGCCAAAGCAGATTTGGGGGTAAACGCCTCTACAACAATATAACTTTTTACATTGTATCTGCTCCACTCCTTTATTACAAATAATAGCCTAAGAAGGCATCCATGGCAAGGTGTAAAGCAGAGTAAATCTGAGACTGCCCTTAGACCATCACCCCTCCAGTCCTCACTCTCCTCACACACACACCCCCGCAGGTCAATCAACAGTGATCGTCCCTTTGTTTAGAAGTAAGCGACATAAAAAAAGCAACGAAAGCTGCTTCTCGAATAGGGGCAACCGAAGCAAAAATGGTCTTTATCAGAGGTTATCACAGTGTGGTTATCAGACCCGAAATCTTCGGGCACCCCTCTAAAGTGGCAGCTTGGAAAATTCAGCTCGGTTGGTATGTTAACCCCACACACACCACGAAAGACTCCAACTCAAGCTGACAGAATGGAAAGCCAAGAAGCTACTCTGCTTAAACTGCGGCAGGGTTAAATTATGCATTAAGGCAAGGAACATTTCCATCCTTACTCGTCCTCTTTAACGGAGTTCAAATGATACCAGTTAAAATGATCTCACTGGTTACCACTAAAACAAAGAAAATTATAGGTTTTCCACGTTTTAACTCTTCGAAGATATCTATAGATGATGTAGATTTTCGGATAAGGGCTTTCTTAACATCCTCTGCTTACTAAAACTTCTTGCAGCAACTACCAATATCTACGGTAACTCGACAAGCCGGTGCCCCAAACTCATGAACTGAAATGTTGTAAACGCAGGTGTTTGACAAACACTGCCCGCTTTAGACAGCAAGCGCATGGCTACAAGTGAATGCTCTCTGCCTCGGATTAATCCCACGGGGATTCAGGTTTTTAATCCACCGTTTGTTACACTCAGAATACGTGAGGAGTCGCTGTGCCCTATCATTCTTATTTTTAAAAAGTTGGGGAACAAAGCTCTCAAACTTGACTCTCATTTAAAAATCTCGCAAGAAAGCAACTCGCACTTCAGCCAGCTGCTTCTCATCCCGTTTCTGGTTTCCTCACTCGGGTCACGGCCGCGCGGGTCCCCGCCGCCCACCCGAACAAAGCAGGCTGCCCCGGGGCCCCGGCCACAGAACCCCCTCACCCAGCCCCGCACACACACGCCCCTCCCCGTCAGCTCCCTCCGCGGGGCGCCCTGAGACGCCTCAGAACTCACCTCCCGCGGGCCGGCGAGTCCCGGGAGCGCGGCGGCCGCGACGGAGCGGCAGCAGCGACCGCCTCAGGCGACGGACGGGTGGCCGCGGCCCCTCCCCCAGGCGGGTCCGCGAGCCGGAGGCGCCTCGCCAGGCAGAGGCACTGCGGGAGGCAGGCGCGCGCCCCCCGCCCCCGCTCGCCGCAGGTCACGTGGGCCAGAGCTCGCGCGGCTCCCCTTGCCACCCAGGGGTCCCGCGGCGCCGCCGGCCTCCACAGCTCCCCTCCTCTGCGCCTGCGCCCCAGCTCCAGTAGCTCCCATTCAAACCGACAACGCCCCGCGTCTTTCGGACTCGCCAATGGCCAGCGCGGGGGGCGGGGCGGGGCGGTTGTCCGCGCCTCTGCCTCCGCGGTCCGGGGCGGGCGGGGCACTGCGCGTCAGGCCGAGGGGGACCCTGGGGGGCTTGGCCCCCCGCTGTTCTGGGGCCTGTCCTCAACCACCAAGTTGAAACTGCTTTCCTGCCCTCTTCCTTTTTCTTCAGACACTGAAGGGGTGGAGCGATAAGTATCGTCCAGAGAGTGTTCAGAGAGGGTCTGGCCGGACCCCTTAAAAGATGGGCGCCCAGAACAAATAAGTCCTGCACTTACGGCTCGGTCCAGCCTAGAGAACGAGTTTCCCAAGCGGCCTATGCGGGATGTTTAAGAAAAAGGGCTCTGTGACAGAAACAGAGGGACCCGTGTCAAAGTCCGAACAAGGCAGCCTCAGTTCTTGCGGCCCTGTCACAATTCCGGCGTTTCCAGCGGTTAAGAAAGCAAACTTGTGTTGGCTGCAGAGTTGCCGGATCCCGGGAAAACTGGGTGGCACTTGACTCAGTTTCAGGCCGCTATATTCCAGATACATTGGGAAAAGGCGGTTTTATTTCCATGCACCTCCTCCATTATCAGGTTTAACCAAAACATAGGTCTCAGTTCTTCACAAAAATACCAAGACTACAGGCTCTTCGGGCTCAAGAGTCGGATGAATTTAGTTAGATTATTTCTCAAACATTTCTCCACTGAAATGAAATTTAAATGTTTCTGCAGGCTTAAGGGTGTGTTAGAGAAAACCCCACTTTCAGTATCTCTCTGAATGATGGCCATAACCAGTGATCCAAGCAGCATTTCTCTTCCTGGGAACGTGTTATGTATGGCAAATTGGTTAAAATAACAGCTTTGGCATCAAACTTGACCTGGATTTGAGTTACACCTTTGCCACTTATGGGCTGATTGACCTTGAAGGAGTTACTTATCCTCTTTAGGCTTAGTTTCCTCAACTGCAAAACACAGGTAATAAAAGTGGTGGTTATGCTTCCGTGAGGTTAAGTTTTGTTAAGCCGTTAAAATAGTGCCTGACTGCTTGATAAATGGTACCTATTATATTATTATCAGCAACTACCTTTAAAATCAGGTCCTCATAAACAACAACTGAATTAGATGGCTGTACCATTTCAGAGGTAGGTGTTATAATTCTTTCTTACTCATAAATTCTTTTTTGGGTGTTGATAGAATGTTTTCCTATCAATCCCATTGTCCAAAATGAATCATTATGTCCCGCCTGCAAGTCTTCTCTTACACATGTGACTTTCTATCACTGGTATTAGTTATCTCCATCTTACTCAAGTTGAATTAGTTTTTAAATTATCTTTTAAAAAAGCCATACATCAGATTATGTCACTCTCCTATTTGAAAACCTTTAGTGATTTATCATTTGATGTAAAATAAAATCTAAATTCCCTACGACGGCCCACAAAGCCCTAAGTCATCTTGCCCTGTCCACTTCTCTACTCTCCTGTATTTCCTTCTCCTCCTGGTTTACCTCGCACTTCGCTCCAAGTACACAGGATATTTCTCCAGCCCTAGAACAGACCAAGCCTCAGGGTTCTCTCAGAGCCTTCTCCCTGGCAGTTCCCCCTGCCAAGATTTTTTCCCTCAGGCCATTTAAATGGCTGGCTACTTGTCAGCCCTCAGCGTTCAGCTTATTCATTACAGTATTTAGCAAGTATTTATTAGTTTCTGCTATGTGTCAGAAACTGTTCTAGGTGCTGGGAATATAGTAATGAGCAAGAGGGCGCACAGCCCCTGCTTCCATGGAGTTCAATAAAAATAAATAATAAGAAAAATATCAGGTTGTGACAGGTACCATGCAGAGAATTCAAAGGGGGGTGATGTGAGGGTGAGTCACTGAAAGACAACTTTACATTGAGGGTCAAGGTAAGAAAGTCCACTTTGAGAAGACAGTATTCAAACCAAGACTTTAATTATTAGGAGCCAACTTTTAAGCAAATCTCAGGGAAGAGAAACAGGCAAAGGGAACAGCGAATGCAAAGCCCTGTGAGGGCAAGCTTTGTGGGTTTGAGAAACTGGAAAAAGACCACCATTGCTTAAGTGACATGAGGTAGAGAAGAACCTACAGGGTGAAGTCACACCAGATCATGTAGACCTTTGTAAGCCAGGACAATGAGTTTGGGCTTTACTTTCTAAATGTAATAGTAGCCCGAGGAAGCTTTAAATATGGGAATAACTTCATTTGTTTATATTTTTAAAGGAACACTCAGAAACAAAACCAGTATTTCAGACATTCTATAAGACAATTAGTCCAGACTCTTCACAAACATCATTGTCATGAAAAACAAACCAACCAAAAAAGGTACATGAATCTTGTGGAGTCCTAAATCAGAGAGAGAAAAAATGAGAGACTATAAAAGACATTTAGAAACAACTGGGGAAATTTGAATACAGATGATATATTAGGTAATATTATAGAACTACTGTTAATTTTCCTAGAGGTGACATGGAATTATGGTTATATAGGAGAATTTTTTTATTTTTAGGAGATGCAAGGTGAAGTACTTAATAAAAAACCATGACTTCTCCAACTTATATGCAAATGGTTCAGCAAAAGAGAGAAAGGAGAGAAATACAAACTAAATATTAACAATTAGACCTAGGTTAAGATACATCTCTTATTCTTATACTATTCATGTATTATTCTTTTACTTTTTCTAGAAATTTGGAATTTTTCCAAATAAAAAGTAGGGGAGAAAATCACTCTGTAGACTTCCATGTCTGAAAGTAATAACCCAGATACCCTGTTCACTCTCTCACTGAAAACAACTTAAAATGCTTTCAAATATTAAAAAAAAAATAGAAAATTTATCAATGACCTAGCATTCAAGTAAGGATTACTCAGAAGCTAGGAACTAGTAAAATAGATAAGCAGATGAACTTGAGATTTAGTTGTCATGGTCTCATGAGACATGGGAAAAAGAGACAAAGGCCAGGTCCTACCAAGATGAGGAATCTAATTAGAGACTCCACACAAAAGCCAGGATCTCCCAAAGTCCTTGCCAGCCTTTTCTCAGAAGACAGCAAAAGAAAATTGCCTGTAATCATCCTTAACGTAGAATAGAGGAGGATATATCTCCTGATATTTTTTGCGTGTGTTTTTTGTTTTGTTTTGTTTTTTACCTGCTCTACATGACTTGTCTGAAACTCAAGCACATAATTTACTTTAAAGTGGTTTCAGGTTGATGGTGCCCCTAGGCAACTGGCAAAGGTAAACCAAATCACCACTAGAGACTGTTTGTAGCTCCCCAAAATTTATATGTTTAAACCTAATTCCCATTGTGGTAGTATAGGGAGATAGGGCCTTAGATTAGGTCAAGAGGGTGGAGCACTCATGAATGAGATTAGTGCCCTTATAAAAAAGACCCAAAGAGCAGCCTCACACACAGGGATACAGTAAGATGACAGCCCTCTAAGAACCAAGAAATGGGCCCTCACCAGACACAATGTGCTGGCACCTTGATTTTGGATTTCCTAGCTTCCAGAACTGTGAGGAATAAATGTTTTGTTTAAGCAATCCAGTTTATGGTATTTTGTCAGCTCAAGCTGACTAAGACACCGACTTGATCCAGACCCCCAAAATTTACATAGCAGAAGTTCAAGAAATGTGAACTCTCAAATTACAAATCATACAGAGAAACAAAGCATCTTATACAAGAAGTAGCAGGAAAAAAATAACAAAATCAAACTCTTAAAGACTTTGAAGTTGTAATTACCAGTCATAGAGTATAAATAGGTTTAATAGATTTAAGGCAATAAAATAAAAGATTGAAGATATGAATAAAGAGCAAAATTTTTCAAAAATGAATAGGCAGGTTTAAAAAAGAATTTTAAAAACCTTATAGACTTAAAAAAAAGACACAATAATTAGAATTTAAAAGTCAACAGACAGGGGATACCTGGGTGGCTCAGCTGGTTAAGCATCCAACTTTTTTTTTAAAGATTTTATTTATTTATTTATTTGAGAGAGAGAGTGTGCACGCACACCGGGGGGGGGGGGGAGGGGGAGGGGCAGAGGGATAGGGAGAAGCAGACCCCCGCTGAGCAGAGAGCCCAATGCAAGTCTTGATCCCAGGACCCTGAGAGCCTGACCTGAGCCACAGTCAGACACTTAACCAACTGGGCCTTCCAGGCACCCCAGCATCCAACTCTTGATTTCAGTTCAGGTCATAGTCTCAGAGTCATGAGATCAAGCCCCACTTTGGGCTCTGTGCTGGGCATGGAACCTGCTAAGGATATCTCTCTCCCTCCGTCTCTCCCCTCCTGCTTGCGCTTGTGCTTTCTCCCTAAAAAAAAAAAAAAAAAAAAAAAAAAAAGGCAATGGGCAGGCTTAACAGCAGATTAGACATGCTGAAGAAAATATTAGCAAACTAGAAGATAGAACCAAATTAATTTTTTCACATAAAAGAGAAACATGGAGGATAGAGGGAGATCTAACATGTCTAATCAAAATTCTAAAATGAAAAGAAAATGGACAATACCTTAGGCAAGATTTAAAAAAAAAAGAAAAAGAAAATAGATATTTATGCATAAGATAATGAAAATACAGAGCACCAAAAGCAAAGTAACTTTACAACCAGTGCAAGAGAAAGGGCTGACTACCTCCAATGAAACAACACTTAACTGACAGGTGACTTTGCTACTGTAAAAACATAAGCCAGAAGAATGTACTGAGAGAAAATGACTGTCAACCTAGAATTATTTAACCAG